TGTGGGCTGCGCTCTGCGGACCCCTCTAGATCCCCGCTTTTTGCGGCCTGTACCCCTGCGCTGTTTTGCCTGTTGCCTGTGCACCCCTCTGGGGCTTCAGGGGGGGTGGGTGGTACCGCATTGTCAATTCTCAATCAGCAGAATCCTTACGTTCCTGCAGCACGGGGTGGCTCAGGGTCTGGCCTTGAGTACTGTGAAGGGCCAAATCTCGGCCTTGGCGGTGCTTTTCCAGCGGCCTTTGGTGTCTAAGGCTTTGGTTCGCACCTTTGTTCAGGGGGTGACACGCATTGCTCCCCCTGTCCGCGCGCCTTTGGTTCCGTGGGATTTAAATCTCGTGCTTTCAGTGTTGCAGGAATCCCCGTTTGAGCCTCTTCGGGAGATTCCGCTTATGTATTTGTCACAGAAAGTGGCCTTTTTGGTGGCCATCACTTCCGTTCGGCGGGTGTCGGAGTTGGCTGCCTTGTCCTGCAAGTCCCCATTGCTGGTTTTGCATTGGGACAAGGCTGTTCTCCGTCCGCGGCCGGCGTTCCTGCCGTAGGTTGTGTCGGCATTACGGCCGCGTCGGCGGCTACCATCTCTAGGTGGATACGTACTGTTGTGACTCAGGCGTACGCCGTTAAGGGGCGTGAGCCTCCATTTCCTGTCACTGCCCATTCTACTAGGGAGAATTTTTTTGCTATTGACACTGCAGGTTTACTCTCCAGTGTTCCACTTCAAATGCTAGATTTTAATTTGAGAAAAGCAGGTTTATAGTTCTATATTTGTTACAGGTCAGTGATGCAGAAGATATTCATGATAATATAGTAATGTTGGCACAATATTGCTGGTCCTTAGAGTGTTCCATGAAGTATAGAATAAAGCCTTCATGATATCTGTGCTGTGTTGTGTGTGTGTGTGTATATATATATTTTTTATATTTTTTACTTCCAGGCGTACAAATCCGTTTGGGGAATCTGAAGATATGGGTGAAAACCCAGTAGAGGAAGGTAATATATAAAGTACATAACCAGTATTAATAGACCAGGACAGAAGCAAGCATACAAATTCGTAAAGCATTACAATGTGAGAAAATTGCCAGTGTGGTCTGAAATTTTGCATGAAGTAATTTTTTTCTAGCTTAAAAAGCCATGACAGAACAGGGATTTGATGGTGTGTACAGACAACATGGGGTCTATTTATAAATAAGATTTTTGGAGTCCATTGAGGGACACAGGAAGTCTCTAACATTCAGGTTATGCTGCTGCCTACAGAAGGATTGGGCACTGGCAAATAAAAGACTGTAGGCTATGCCAGTATTATAATCCCTCCCAGTACCAGCATGCCTCAGTTTTGTAACAAAGCACTACCAAGAACATGATCATAAACACAGAAGGGTAGGATGTGTTACAATGGATTCCATAAAAAAGGATGTTGATGATGAGTAAAAAAAAAAACTACTTTCGACAATCTTCCTCGTCCATTGAGAGACACAGGAAGACTTTAAGCTTTGGGATGTCCAAAAGCAGCTCAACTGAGGGGTGAGCAACACAGCAAACAAATGCCAACAGGCCCAAGAAAAGAGTAGAGAACTAGGAACTGCCTGCAGCTCAAAGAACAGCCTGAAGGACCGTACGCCCAAAGTTGGCATTAGATGTAGCTGTAAAGCACACCTGGTAGTCCTTAGAGAAAGTGTGAATGGAAGTCCAGGTGGCAGCCTTGCAAGTGTGGGAAACAATTACTTAGGGGTCTATTCACGAAGCTGCCAAAGGAACTGGCCGTAGCTTCGGCTGATCCTTCGGCTAGCTTTGGCCCCAGGACCCCTTCGGTTCAGTAGAAACGAAGGGGTGCTGTACGGGCTATTCACAATAGCCCGTACAGCTCCTGATCATGGTCGAGCGGCTCAGCCCAGCCGAACGCATATGCATCGGCTCGGCTGAGCCGTGCTGAAAGCCAAAGCTGGCCGAGCGGCCGGCCATAAGCCGTGATCTTACGGCTGGCTCCGGCCACTTTCAGAGAGATCAGTGTCCCTGGTTACCTGCTAACCAGGGACACTGATCTCCAAACAGTTAACTCTCTCTGGCGCTCCGGAGTCTCCTGCTCCCGACCGCCAAGGAAAGAAACAGTGCTGTGTCTTTTTTTCTTTATTCTGACACGAGTGATGTCAGGATAGAAAAAATAAAAATAAATTCCCATTGAAAAGCATTGGGACATTACTATTGGCTATTTCAAATTGCAATAGCCAATAGTAAACTAGCATTGTACCCGCCCTCTGCTGCAGTTCCCCATCAGTTCCATCAGCAGAGGGCGGGTACAATGCTAGTTTACTATTGGCTATTGCAAATTGAAATAGCCAATAGTAATGTCCCAATGCTTTTCAATGGGAAAATTATTTTATTTTTTTTCTATTCTGACATTGATCGTGTCAGAATAAAAAAACACAGCCCTGTTTCTCTCCTGGGCGGCCGGGAGCGGGAGGCTCCCAGAGCGCACGTGAGTTTTTTTTCTTTCTTTTACAGCAGCAGAGCCGCCGGACAATAGGAAACTATTCGGCGGAGCTAGCTGTCACTGCTAGCTCTGCACAATCGTTTTCTATTAACTTTTTTTGTACTTTTTAACTATTTTTCTGCATTTGGCTATTCACTCACTGCTGTTCGGGATCTTTAAGAATAGCCCGAACAGCAGTGAGAAGCCTGCCGGGGGTTCGGCTCAGCCAATCCAGATGTTGGATCGGCTGAGTCGAACTCCTTCTGCACTTCGGGTCGGCCAAACATGCTGAGCATGTTCGGCCGACCCGAAGCCAGACGAAGCAAGCCGATGTTCGGCTGATTTCAGCTAATATATGGCTGAAATCAGCCGTACCAGCCTGAAGTGAATAGCCGAACAGTGTTCGGCTCACTTCACTTCAGATCGGTCATTCACTCAGCTGCCCTCGGCAGCTTCGTGAATAGACCCCTTAGTGTTGAGAAGCCCAAGAAGCACTCGCAGATCTAGTAGCATAGATTGTAGGTGTCAGGTGTGAATCCAGTAGGTTTTTATTGCACATATCAGGAGAAAAAGTCAACGTGTTTCAGGGGCTCAAAAGTCCCACCTTCATCAAGGCTGAAAATTAACATAAAATAACATAAGATAATGTAAAACTAAGAAATCTAAAAAGACATAGCTTGAAATGTCATACTACATATCACCAAATGAGTAGAGTAATACTGTAAAAAAACAATAAAAACATAGCCGTGCAAAAATAGTACATCAAAATCAACAACTATTTTTTTATGCAAAAAGCGTTAGATCATCATCAGATATTATGGTATAATGACAATCTGATAATAGTGGAATACTAATAAAGAAGTACTAATGTTATCATTTTTTTTTATTGTTATTCCACAACACCTTGATCCAGAAGAGCCGAGAGGACTCGATGGAGCTCTGCTAATCTTTGCTCTTGCACAGAAAATTTGGATGTGAAAAACAGGAGCGGACGGGAGTAAAACTCCAGTTTGTAGCCCTGTGATACCACCTGCTGCACCCAAATGTCTAAGCATCTGTAAAGGTTAACAAATGCCCCCTACCCTGGAAAGTGGGGCTGCCTCTTCATGCAAT